AGGGGAACTTGTCGGCAAATAAAACGGTTTCGCAGACCAAACGGACGTCATATCTTTCTTAGTTTATTTGATCGAGCCTCATCCTCAAGTCTTGTGTTTATCCCTCCTCGGGGTAGCAGGATTTGAGGTAGAGTGCTATTTCATTTAAACTGTGAAAAATATGAGGTCAGTTTGATTTCATATTTTTCTAAAATTATATATATATACGTAAATTAAAAAGTCCTTCCGAAGCGGGCGACGGGATTTCGATTCCGGCGACCGACAGCTTCTTACGGACGACCCCCAAACATAACTTTCTCCTTTTAAGTGCCGACAGATGGATAGAGAGGTTTTTAGATTTGTGTTTGTTTTCTCTTTAAAGGTTTCAGTTTATCCAAATCTTGCTTGTAGTTGTATCCTGGATTAGCGCCTAAGTAGTGTTAGCCATTATCTTGTTCTTCATGTTATTCCCTGTTCTTCCCAATTTTATTCCATGTTGAAATTAGTAACCCCTTCTGTCGGTATCATTTTGATATCAGAGCCTACATCCTTCCATTTGATTTTCTTTCCAATCGTGGTTCCAGATTGCCTCATTTTTATTCCCAGGAAAGTTCTGAATTTTCAGTTTAAGAAGACTTTCTACAAATTTAATTTCTTTTGTTTTCTTCCTGTTGAGTTTCCTATGAGCAAGATATTGAAGCCCAAACTGCAATAGCCACCTGAAAAGCGGTTAGATCTCTACAATCCTTCCGTACTTCTGCTTCAAAGATTGTCAAGTCTTTTATCTTTTTTTTCTTGCTGATTTCGGGTTTCAGAAGGCAATCTTCTTGATTCTCACAGCTGTGTTTTTTTTCCTTACATTCTTCCCCTCGGCTGCTTCTTCATCATTTTCATCCTTTCCTCCACACCTTTCCTACGAAATATTAGGCCTCCACGCAAGAACTTGCCAAGAAACAATCAAGAACTGTCCATGGAGGATCTTTTGCGTGAAATGCAACCTATGCAAGAAAGACTTGCAGACTTGGAGTGCAAAAATATGGAGGAACGCTCAATGGCACACAATATCGAGCCAGTGGAGGAAGAAGTTGAAGACCCATTCCGCCAAAAAGTTTGGATAGATCAAGAAAATATAATTCTTGAGGAAGGAGGTGAAAATTCACTTCATCAAGAAGCCTTAAGTCTCGATGGGTTTGAAGATTTGATGTTGGAATAATTGTTGATGTCCGTGTATGACGTGTATGACGATGACTATTTGTCGGCCTCTAATCATAACTACGCTCAAAAGGGAGACCAGATTTTCAGAGTAAACAATTTTGAAAATGGAGTTGAAAGTTAGATGATGGTAAAAATTTACATGCTAGAAGGGATTTGCAAAATGATCAAATTAGATGATATGTTGATTCTGCTTCTCTCAGTCATCAACATTAAACTGATATACATGATCATATGGACAAGGCATCACTACTTCGACAACAACCAAGTTTGAAAGCTCAGTCACTACATTTTGAATCTGATATGAGACGAGCTAAATATCTTACAACAGGAGCTGCACCTATGAATCTTGGTTCTCAAGAAAATGATGTCATCTATATATATATATATATATATATATA